TGTTATCATTGTTTATTTCACCCACAGACAGTTAATGCCCCAGTTTATGGACGTTTTTATGTCTTTATAAAGCGTATCCTACAAAATTCTTATTGCGAATGATATCTTAACGGTTAATAAAAAGCAGTAGGACAGTTCAATTCATCTGTAATCGTATAACTTACGCACTTAGATATTTATTTTATTTTACTAGATGTTTAAACTTAGATCTGAGAGATGCTAAAATCAGTGTCAAAAATAAAATGTCTGGTCTATCTATTTTGAAGCTCGCGAACGTGGCAAGACGGGTAGCTCCGCTCCGTTCGCGAGCACTATTACTGACTGCACTAAAACTAACCACTACACTAGGACAGACACACCACTGTCAATTCTGCAGGGGCTATCCACTAAGTCAAAATATACTTACAAATACAATAATATAAACATTGTGAGCCTTTTTCAAGTTGGAAGGAATTAATTATGAGGTACTGATTAATGTGAATTTGATACAAGTGGAATAGGGACGATTTATTGCTCTTACCCTTTTTGAGCTCTTACTTCATGAATCATTCTTTAACTTTAAATAAATACAAGGCGTTACCAACGGCTTTCGATTGCTCTAGGGAATATTCATTCTTCCATGAGACACCTACAAAACTAACTTACTAAACAAACAGCGTAAATAAGGGTCCTATCTAGAATGATCACGCTATAAATTTATCAAACGACCTTTATCTCAACCTTTAGAAAGATCCCTGGGAGAGATCAATATTTTTTTAGTCTGGTCACGTAAGTTTTAATATTCTTTGATGCATGTGCTTAGCAGTAGTCTTTTAATATAATGTAATTAATTAACGCTGAAGCATAATTATTCATAAGAAAGATTGGTATATTTATATCACAACTAACAACCCGTCGTGAATATCTAAAAATCTATTATTGTTGCGATATATTTAAGATTTAAGATAATCAAAAACCATTTGTCTACTAAATTATTTGTTCATTCAAAAAATTCAAGTTTTAGGAGTTTCATTAGAATCGGTTCAGCTATTTTGCAATTGTTTTTTTGTCCAGCAAAATGAGTGAATCTAACGAAGAAATTCCATACATTCTAAAGTTTTATTACAAAAAAGATAAAATTGCGATTCAAGCCGCTAAATAATTGTGAAGTTTATGGACCCAATCCAGTGTTAGTTAAAGTAAAGATGCAGCTCGCTCTGGTCGCCCTCATACAGATAATGTCGATGCCATTTTTGAGCAAGTGGTAAATCAAAAATTTCGTACAACCGACTTCAGTATAAATTATTAATGATAAATCAATTACTGGTCAGATCTTCTTCAAATGTATACGGAACCACATGAGAAGCGCCAGCTTTCAAATAAAAAAACTAATCATTAAAATCGGTTCTCGTAGAAAACAGTTACGAGGTGACACACATTAAAAAAAATATAGTCGAATTGAGTACCTCCGCCTTTTTGAAATCATTTAAAAGTGGAGCAAGATCGGCACATTAGTAATTAAGACATAGCTAAGGAATTCAGGATTAAACCGAACAATTCATAAAGAACGTGGGAAAAAGATCATGGTCAAATGGTAGTCAAGCTCCACAGACTGTACCGAAAAACGCATTAACATGCAATAGGTTGATGCTGTGTATATGATGGAATTGGAAGGGCAACGTTTATTATGAGTTATACCGCCGGAAAAACCGTCGATTCGAATCTCTATTGCCAACAACGAATGAGACTCAGAACCTCACCCAATGAGGAGTGGTCAGTTTTTTATCATGATAATGCCAGACCACATACATCTTTTGCCGCTCAGCAAAATTTAGAGAGATTGTAATGTGTCATCTAATTCGCGCGAAGACAAGTGGGGGTGCATGAATAGCCCGCGCGGCTGACGAGTGACCTCAGTGTGACCGTGAAGGTCCAGTCGCCTAAATGCATTTCTGCATCTATATTAAATAATTCAAAACGCATACGTTATGCAAATTATAGCTAATAGCTTTTTATAGGTTTGTTAATAATTATTAAATATTAACGGTTGTTCCCCTTATATTGGGGAACCTCGCCAGGGGCTGTGACATCCTTCTTTTTATTTTATTTCTAAACGAGATAAGATGGAAGGATTTGGAATTAAATGAAATATATATATATATATATATAAAATATACATTGAATTCGCAAGCGAAATCGGTCTATAAAGGACACATATCTCCAACCAGTTCCGCCGGACTCGCCGCCAGTCGTGCCAGGGAAGTACTTGCTTTTTCTCCTGATCCTGAAAGGCGTCGAATCCGCGACCTGTTAATTTTATTTTATTTGCCTTTTTTATTATTAGTCAACTTAGTATTTTCTTAGAAGTATTTATATAAAAAATATAGAAAAAAAACAGCGCGCGTACATCGCCGAGTTAACATCATATTGTATTAACTCCGTGTTGAAAAAATATTTTTGCAGTTAATGTTTATATTTATACTGTGTAAAAAGCAAATATCAATAGTTAGAAGTTAGTTACTTAAAATTAAAGTAAAAGTGCAAAGAAAGTGTAGTGTGAACAAAGATTGAATTCCTTCGTAATTTTAATACTCAGTGCGGTGGACTTTGATACTGCATATTGTTCTGGTTCGTCTACAATTATTGAATCGCGTATGTTTTTCCTAATACCCACTTGTTGTTTGAACAAATTATAAAGTGTTTAGTATAAATAATTACTATCATTGTGTATATTAGTACAGTTTTTTTTTAATTTGTCTTAAAATGAAATGCTCAGCATGTGAAAATCCTATAGAACGAAATGAATTATTGGGATGCATGTTATGTAAAGGAACCTATCATTATATGTGCCTTAATATTACATCTGCGAAGTTTATGGGTAACTATCAAAAATTTAAAAGATCATGGAAATGTCCTACTTGCACCAACGTTACGGAACGGCGATCCAGAAACGACGACACACCGGTAAAAGTTAACTGTGGGGATTCATCACCATCTGATGTCATTAACATGTCTAGTGATAACATGCAAGTAAATGAACTGCCGCCTTCGGATTTTGAGCACCGTGGAGGTAAAAAACAAAATACTTTTACTTTTTCTTTAGAAGAATTAGGTAAATTGCTTGACGATAAATTAGACACTAAGCTACAAAACACTCGTCACTCATTAGCTTCGGAAATTAAGCAAGAATTTAATGAAGTTTTAATGAAGTTGGAAAGTGAGTTTTTGAAAATAACCGAATCCCTAACAGGAGAAATATGTGACTTAAAAAGAGATTTATGTACACTTCGCGAAAAAGTTCAAACACTTGAGCAAGAAAACATATGTGTACGTAAACAAGTAGAAAGTGAACAAAATAAGCCTTCAAACATTTCACATATGGAGACCATTATAAAAGAATTAAAACAGGAAATAAATGACAAGGACCAGAAAGCGTTGCTCAATGACATTGAAATAGTTGGAATACCTGAAGTTTCAGGTGAATCTCCAGTGCATATAATGTCGACAGTTGCAAATAAGCTGGGAGTTACCTTAAATGATCATGACATAGTATTTGCAGAGCGTGTCGGTCGCCATTCGAGTAATCTACTTCAAGAGGTGCAAACAGGGAATCAAAACCGTATAGAGGCACGTCCCCTAGTTGTGCGTTTAGCACGCCGCATCACTCGTGACATCCTACTGAAAAATGCACGTGTGCGCCGTATGCTCACCACTGTAGATCTAGGGTTACCTTCTAAAGAAACAACCAAGTTTTATGTTAATGAGAGGCTAACGAAACCAAATCGTGTGCTATTTGCTAAAGCACGTGAAATGGCCCGAAAATTAAAATGGAAATTCGTGTGGACAAAAGATGGCCGAGTTTATGTCAAGAGAGAAGATTCTTTTAACGCTCCGGTACGCGTCATCTACTCGGAAGACGACTTTAGGCGTATTTTTGGTGAACCATATTCCAAAACAATTAAATGATTATAAATTGATTTTGGTGGCCTTTGGGCTTCTAACGTTTTTGCTATTATTCGGTTTGTTGTATATTAGTTTTAATGTCAATTACACTTTCAATGTCAACTTAGTTTTAGTACAGTTTGATTTCAATGTCAACTTAGTTCTAGTACAGTTTGATTACATATATTATTACAATCTATTATTAATTAATATTCCGTTAACAGTCAAAATATTAAAACAATATGTTTCTGTTAATATTGGGGATCTAATAATTGTGCCCTACTTTTTAAACTTTAATTCCATCTTCTGTCTATATTCTGCTAAACTGTGGAAACAATTTTTAATAATGTTTATATGTGTAGTTTTTATTTTGATGTCGGTCAGTACAAGTTATAACTTATTTTTGTTGTTACTATTCTGTTTTTTGTGTGTTAGTTTTAATATTAGTTATTTTTTCAATGTCAATATAGTTTTAGTACAGTTTGATTACAAATATTATTACATTTTATTATTTAATATTCTGGTAACAGTAAAAATATTCAAAAAATATTTTTCTTTTAATATTAGGGATCTCATTGTGCCCTACTTTTTTTATTTAAATTCAATCTTTTGTCTACATTCTCCTAAACTGTTAAAATCCTTTTTAATATTGTTTATACGTGTTGTTTTTATTTGGATGTTGGTCAGTACAGGTTATAACTTATTGTTGTTATTATTCGGTCTGTTGTATATTAGTTTTAATGTTCGTTATACTTTTAATGTCAACTTAGTTCTAGCACAGTTTGATTACAAATATTATTACATTTTATTACTTAATATTCTGATAACAGTAAAAATGTTAAAGAAATATTTTGCTGTTAATATTAGGGATCTCATTGTGCCCTACTTTTTTTATTTTAATTCAATCTTTTGTCTACAGTCTGCTAAACTGTTGAAATCCTTTTTAATATTGTTTATACGTGTTGATTTTGTTTCGATGTTGGTCAGTACAAGTTATAACTTATTGTGTTCTTACTTTTCCCTATATTTTTTATTTAATTTGTTTCAAAATTTAAGACATTACATTATATTATATAACAATGGCTAGATATAAAAGTTTTAGAGTTGGTCTCTATAATGCTGGGTCAATAAGAAGCAAAATAGACGAGTTTCAGGTTGCCTTACAACGTGACTCTGCTGATATTATGGCAATTAACGAAACATGGCTGCAGACAGGTGACAATGTAAGTGCCCCATTAGTTCCTGGATATAGCTTCCGTCATATTCCTCGATCGTGTAACATGTCAAGAACTAGGGGCGGAGGTGTAGGTTTCTACATTAGACGAGGGGTAAGTGCTCGTTCCTGTCCACATATTAACACATTTACTGAAGTGGAGCAACAATGGATATCGGTAACCATAAATAGGACTAGAATATTAATTGGTACAGCATATCGACCACAATGGGTCAATGTGGATAATTTTCTTGATTCTCTCACCGACACTTTAACTTCACAATCCAACTTTGATTATTTTATATTATTAGGCGATTTTAACATTAACATTTTGGATACTAATGATAGTAAAACTCTTCGTCTTAAGCAATTTTTGACCTATACTAATTCAAGTAACTGTATTTCAGAACCTACACATTTCACACGAGACAGTGCAACGTTAATTGATTTAGTTATCACGGATGCACGTGTTACAAATACATTTGTTAAACATACACCAGAATTAGGAGGGCACGCTTTTGTTTTGGTTGACTTCCATTTTAAAAAACCTAAGATAGCACCAATACAACAAATTATAAGACCTATTAAAAGTATCAATATGCTTGCTTTTCTATCAGATCTCGAAGCTATAAATTGGGATACTATCATAGGGTTTAACTGTGTAGATCAAATGGTAATTGAGTTTTCCAAAAAAATTTTAGAATTATTTGATAAGCATGCTCCTGAGAAATTAGTAACGTTTAAAAAAAGACAACTGCCATGGTTCACTAGTAATGTTCGGTACATGATGCAACTGCGTGACAGCGCTCATAATAAGTATCGACAAACAAAAGCTGAAAGTGATAAAACTCATTACAAATCTCTTAAAAGACTAGTTAATAGTTGTCTTAATACTGAGAAGAAAGCATATTTTGACTATCATATTAATCAGAACCTACATAAAGCAAACATTTTGTGGAAAAACTTGAAATCGGTTGCATTACCTTCATTTAAAAATTCTAACAATTTACCAGACCATTTTAATGATCCTGATAAAATTAACCACCACTTTCTTAATATTCCGGACGTAAGCAATACTGGTTCGTTTTATTCTAAATTCTTTAAAAGTTCTAAATATAACTCAAACACATTAAAGTTAATGCCAGTCCATGAAAGCGTAGTTGCAAAAGTTATTATGGCTATCAAGTCGAACGCACAAGGGGTTGATCGAATTAGTATGGAAATGATACTTTTGACACTACCACAAACATTAAAGGTTATAACAGCAATAATTAATAGGTCTATCACAGAATCAATTTTTCCTTCTCAGTGGAAAACCGCACTAATTCGTCCCGTACCAAAAAAAGACAACGCAGTTGATTTAAGCGACCTAAGGCCTATTAGCATTTTACCATATTTATCAAAAATATTGGAAAAAGTTGTACACTTTCAAGTAGTATACTTTTGTGAACTAAATAAAATACTACCTAAGTTACAATCAGGGTTTAGGAAGAGTCATGGGACAGCTACAGCCCTTATAAATGTCGTAGATGACGTGCTGTCTTTTTCAGATTCTGGCAAAGGCACGATCCTCACTCTTTTAGATTTTTCTAAAGCATTCGATTCGATAAATACGGATTTGTTAATAGATAAACTATCATATTACGGATTTGATAACGGGGCATTGGTGTGGTTTAAGAGTTATCTCAATAATCGTTTACAACAAGTTATAATTAACAGGAATGATGGCGAAAGCTATGTTTCCCAACTTCTTCCTGTCAATAAAGGTGTCCCTCAAGGATCTATTTTAGGCCCTTTGCTTTTTATCATTTATAGTTCCGATATAACAGCATGTCTTGAAAATTGCAAATACCATATTTATGCTGATGACCTACAGGTGTATATTAGTGTAGATAGTAAAAATGTAAATACAGCGGTAGATAAGTTAAATGATGATCTTCAACGTATTAGTTCTTGGTCACAAAATAACTCCATGCTCCTTAATCCTACAAAATCTAAGTTTATTATTATAGGTACTAAAAAGCAGGTACAGGTCATAACTTCTACTGATCCTAACATACGTATTGATGGGGAAAACATTGAACGAGTTTTTGAAGCACGAAATCTTGGGGTTCTTATGGACAGTTATTTAAAGTTTGAAAATCATGTAATTAATGTCGTAAAAAGTTGTTTTTTCCGATTAAAAGTTTTATATTCAATTAGGCAGTTTATCACTGTAGACTTACGTGTAAAACTATGTGAAACCTTAGTTCTCTCTAAACTAAATTATTGTATAACTTTGTATGGACCTTGTCTATTTAAAAAATCAAAAAATTTAATTCAAAGGGTACAAAATGCTTGCGCTCGTTACTGTTTTTATATCCCAAGACGAACACATGTTACACCTTACCTTAATGCCTCTAATATGCTTAAAATGCAAGAACGTCTCAAATTATTTTATGCCTCCCTGCTATTTGGAGTGATAAAGACAAAGAAACCAGAATACCTATATGAAAAGCTTCAGTGGAGACAAAATCAACATATGTACGGTATTAGAAAGTGTGCAAAAGTACTTTGTATACCTCAACATAGGACATCAGCATTTCGTGGTAGTTACAAATTTATGGCTACAAAATGTTGGAATGATCTTCCACCACCATTACGAGTCATAACAAATAAGAACAGTTTTAAGAGAAAATACAAAGAGTATTTATTAAGTACACAGAAAATGTCATAAATATAAAAAAAAAATTTCGGCAGGGGCTGAGTATCCCATATTTAGTTATATTCAATTATGTAACTTACATTTACTACCAATATTCTTTTTAATAACCATTACGATGTTCTAGCATAATTATTATAATTAGTCTGAATAAATAAAACACTACTGTAGCTCTTACTTTTAATATTGTTATTTTTTTTCATGTTTTCGTTTATATTTCGTTTATATTTTGTTTATATTATGTTTATCTTTTGTACATGAATATTAACTATCAATTTATTAATAGAAATAATATGAAAACTTGTACCGGTTAATTAAATAGTTCTTGTACTGGCTGAATGAATAAATAAATAATTTAACACTAAAAGCTATTTGTAATATAATCAGTGATGTACGCGTACTGTTATACTTTAGCTCACTAAGTAGGTATATGGGTGCTGACAGAATAACAGCGTTGTAGATTCTCTGCAACACATGCTGAGTCAGAACCCTTTCATTGTCCTTCCAAAAATATCATTTTTGTATTAGTTTAACTTTTAAATACTTTATTACTTTTGGTCAATGAATAAATATATTATTATTATTATTATATTATTATTATATTAGTTTTTTTTTTATAAGCAGTATTATTGAATATCTCTTTAGAAGTAGGTACTCATATTAGTCTAATTTTACAAGTAGTGTTATTAAATATCTCTTTAGAAGTACTTATATTAGTCTAGTTTTACAAGTAGTGTTATTAAATATCTCTTTAGAAGTACTTATATTAGTCTAGTTTTATAAGTAGTGTTATTAAACATTGTAAAAAAAAATTGTTGTTATTATTTATTTATTATCAAATAAAATAATAACGTGACATTGGCGCCTCAACTCGGTTATTCAGGATCAGGAATTTTAGTGTGTGTGCGTGTAAATTGTAAACCTTTTGTTTTTTTTTATGACTTTTAATTTGCCTTTTATACTTTTGCAACTGCAGTGTATATAATGTTTTAATTTTAGTGGTAGCCTTATTGTGTTTAATTTGTATACATACAAAAATAAAATATTTTGGTTTTATTAATATATTTAATAATAAGCTTTATTAAAGTAAATATATACTACAGTTGCACCCTTTTGTTGCATTTTTTTCTCTTTATTTATAGCTTTCCCGTGTAGTAATTTTTACGAACATCCTTAAAAAAACTTAGGGGATTACTTACCAAAATTGTAACAGGACGGAGGATTCTTACTTAAACAAATTAGTTTTATTGTATAATTACAGAATTTTAAACCTGCTCACATAAACCTAGTATAAGGATTTTCTTAGACTTCTTAAATTATGTCATACGAAATTCAATTCTTGTCCTTACAAAAAAACGAACTAAGCTATGAGGTGGCCATTAGAGGCGGCACACCCGGAGAAAACGTTCAAGAATTACGCAGGCAGATAGTCAAATTAGCCAATGTGACGCCTTCGGATGATATTATTGAATCTGGGTTTGAGTTTTCTGTAGACGTAGAGGGCATCCGCGAAAGCCTTGCTAAAGTAGAAACGAATTTAAAAACATTATCAGTGAAATATGATAAAAATTTATATAAACGTACTCAAAACTTACTTAACCATTTATTTCATAGGATTCAACGTCTGGATGCTGTAGATAAAAAGTCTACAGATATTATAGAAAGCCTCAGGCTCAAGCTAAATACAAATTTTAAAAACTTAGAACATCTTAAGCCTGATACTGATTCCTCATCTGAATTTACAGATGCTCTTACAATTACACCGTCCCCTATTGTTGTTACATGTGATCGAGCTCATTCTTCGGACTTAACTAGTATTAAGTTTGATGGTAAAACGTGCGTACTTTCGTTTGTCCAACGTATAAACGACTATATAACAGCCCGTGGTATTCCCTCTTCTAAAATTATAGATTTTGGAACAGAAATCTTCGTTGGTGATGCTTTACACTGGTTTCGCAGTGTAAGATCACATGTTACGTCTTGGGATAGATTATGCGAATTATTGAAGGATGTTTTTGTTATTCCTGATCATGATTATCGCTTATTAGACGAGATAAAATCTCGTACGCAAGGTAAAACTGAGAATATTACTATTTACCTAGCCATTATGTCAGGCATGTTTTCCCGTTTATTTAAAAAAACCTTCAGAGGAAGATCAGTTAGAAATTATTATGCACAATATCAAACCGTGTTATGCTAGCGCTTTAATTGCAGTGCCTGATCTTAAATCTATTGACGTCTTACGTACGGCTTGTAAAAATTATGAGAATGTACAGTCTTGTCTTAATAAATATAATGAACCTCCTAAAATAAATTCAGCCACACTAGCACCCGAATTTGCATTTAAGCCACTCACTAATTTAGCAGAAAAAAATAAAATGTACTATTCTACCACCAATAAATTTAATTGCAATAAAGCTTATAATAATTATAATAAACCTATACCTAATTCAAGTAACCTTTATAAAAAATATTCTCCCAATTCTAATGTTTTAAACAACACTAATCTGCAACGGCAACAAAGAGTTTATGGTAATAATAAACCAATTGACGCTATTCAATATGACGAAAGTAAACAAAAGTTTTGCCCTCGGTGTCGTGTTGATACACACAACTTAAGACAATGTACAGAAAAACGCAAAGTATTTTGTTTCAAATGTGGCCGTGATGATTACACATTTTACACTTGTCCAGATTGTACAAGTATTCCGTCTAGTTCAAAAAACTAATAAAGCAGAATTGTAGCAACCTCGTCAACCACTCTAATAATACCGATTGGAAACAGTGGTTGAAATTTATGAATAATTTTTTTAATAGCTATACAGTTGCTACAATTCTACTTAATAAACCACCTAACGACGTGCGACCTTATTTATCAGTCAAAATAGGTAATACAAAATTTTGGGGGTTATTAGATTCTGGCTCAGCCGTCACCTTACTAGGCAATAATGCACACAACTTACTGATAGATGAAGGATTTGCTGTGCACACTGATGAAATAGTCTCTATAACAGCAGCCGGTGGACAAAAACTTAATTGCTTAGGATATATTAATCTCCCATTTAATTTTGAAAACAATTATTATACTTTGAAGACATTTGTTGTTCCTGAAATAGAGACCTCTCTTATATTAGGTATTGATTTCTGGAAAAAATTTAACATATGTCCAAAATACATCAACTGCATTGAATATAAAAGAGAACTCACCGATTATTATTCAAACACGAATGAATCAATATTAAAATCTCACATACATTCATACGCATCCCTTAATGCCAACCAACGCTTGATTGCTGACGACATAATTGAACAATTTAAGGACGTTTCTTCCGAACGCAAGGGCTTAGGTTGTACTTCCCTTGTATGTCATTCTATTGATACGGGTGACACGAAACCTATACGACAGCTTTATTATCGAATGTCCCCTGTAAAGCAGCAAATTTTATGCCAGCAAGTTGACGAGATGCTTTCATTGGACGTAATTCAGCCTTGTGAGAGCTCTTGGTCCTCTCCAATCTTAATTGTTACAAAAAAAACGGCCAACCGCGCATTTGCTTAGACAGTCGCAAGTTAAATTCTGTAACCAAACGCGATGCTTATACCTTGCCATATGTTTCCGAAATTCTGGATAATCTGCGAGACGCAAAATTTATATCTAGTATAGACCTTTCTAAAGCATTCTGGCAAATTTTAATTTCAGAACGCGATCGCGAAAAAACTGCCTTTTATGTCCAAGGTCGTGGGACCTTTTGTTTTAAGAGGATGGCTTTCGGCCTTACCAATGCACCTGCAACCTAACAAAGGCTTGTAGACTTATTATTTGGTTCATTTGATCTTAAGGTATTTGCATACCTAGATGATATAATTATTATTTCTAACACATTCGATGAACACGTTTCTTTATTATTACGTGTAATAAATAAGTTAAAGGAAGCAAATTTAACAATAAACTTTGAAAAAAGCCAATTTTTTCGGTCTCATCTGAAATATTTGGGCTACGTAATAGACGCCCAGGGTCTCAGAACAGACCCTGAAAAGGTAAAAGCTATTTTAGAGTATCCAACACCATCTTCAAAAAAGATGTAAAACGTTTTTTAGGAAAAGCCACCTGGTATAGACGTTTTGTGCCAAATTTTAGCACTATAGCTGGGCCTCTTAATAAACTTACTTCAAATCGCAAGGGTGCTCCAAAATTTTACTGGTCACCAGAGGCAGACATAGCTTTTAAAAAGCTAAAAGAATGTTTAGTATCTGCACCAGTCTTACATTGTCCTAACTATAATTTGCCCTTCCAAGTTCACACAGACGCCAGTAATTATGGAGTAGGTGCCATGTTAACTCAAATAGTCGATGGCAAAGAACATCCTGTTGCCTATATAAGCAAGTCACTAAATGCTGCAGAAAAGAATTACAGCATTACCGAGAGAGAGACATTAGCTGTAATAGTAGCATTAGAACACTGGCGTTGCTATCTTGAAAATGGTCAACCTTTTGTAGTTTACACTGATCATTCAGCATTAAAGTGGTTTCTCTCTTTAAACAACCCTACGGGTAGGCTTGCAAGATGGGGCATTAGGCCATCTTCTTTTGATTTTACTATCAAGCATAGACGTGGTGCTGATAACATTATTCCAGACGCGTTATCTCGCGCTGCCGTATTTTCTTCTATTTCCACAGCAAAATCTTACTTAACAACGAATGATAAATGGTATCTAGACATTTATAATGGTTGTATGAACAATCCAAGTAAATATGAAAATTTTCTTATCAAAGCGGAAATGCTATATCGGTGTTCAAAAAATAAATGCTTATTAACTACAGAGTTTTCGTGGAAAGAAGTAGTTCCATTAGAATTACGAGAACACATTATCAAAGAAAATCACGCAGAACCCACGTCAGGTCATTTAGGCATCCATAAAACTTATCGCCGTTTAGAATTGCAGTATTTTTGGCCAGGTATGCATCGGGACGTCGTAAAGTTTGTTACGAAGTGTGACATCTGCTTAACTTATAAA